CTTTTGAAACATCATCCCAGAATATGTCTTCAGAATGTTCTGTTATCCCATTGCAAAGGTCCTGTGGACAACTGAAGAGCTTTCCAAACCCCAGCATGACTTTGTGTTGCCTCAGCCCAGACCTGACTTGTATCTGCTCATGCCTCAGTTTCCTTATTTATGAAGGAGGCAGACTTACAAATACTTCTTCTACCTAACAGTGAACAATAAATCCAGAACAAGGTAATGTATATGAAAACATTTTGTAAACTCTAAAGTAATTTCGTGAAGTAATTGCTATTTTAAACTAGTCTGTAATAACTTTCCCTTCTTCTACTCAGGAATCTGAGAGGAGGGTGCTATTTCATGAAAATTAGTTTGAGCTCTTCAACACTTGCCACATAAAACAAAGACAGCCCCAATTTCTTTAATCAAAATGATGATCAGCTTCTAAAAATGAGTCCCATCTCCCCTGAGATCATTCAGAATTAAAATCTGATTTCAAAGAAGGGAAATGTGCAGTGTGTTTGGGTTTGATCCAGAGCCTTTTTGTTCCCCAGCTTTCCACTCATTACCCATTCTGCTGGTTCAGTGAGGTCTTTGGGGTGATCTTGGGGTGACCCAGTCACATCACTTGCCTTTAAGAATCAGAGTTGGGATGAATGCTCCCTCCAGTACTTTGAAAAGCAGCTAATTGATGACCGAGAGAGAAATGATGTGGGTAGGACGTGCCACTGGGGGCAGGGGTTCCTAGGTTGGGTCACCACTTATCAAGACAGATGTCCTGGAATGGAGCCACCCTGGAGACAGAGCAGCCTCAGGCAGTCCTAGGGAGCAGGGGACTGGCAGCTCTGCCCACTTGTGGGTCTGGAGCTTGGGGGGTTCCCTGTGTTTGGGTCACCCCTGCAGTGGTGGTGCCCAGCAGGGTCTCCAGTGAGGCAAGCCAGAGCCCGCACCCTTGCTTCTTCCTTCTCTCTTCCACTTCCCTGTTACTTGTTTTCTAATCAGTCCTTTCGTGGTGTGTAAAAAGGGAGGCTGGTTATTCCCATCATATGTTACTGTTTTCTGTGGGTTCCCCTCTCTCCAGGCACAGTAATTTCACTATCCCTAGATGAGGGTGATAAGTGTTTGAGATGCATAACTGTGTCCCATTTCCGTGTCTAATAGAAGATGGAGAGAGAGCCCTGGCACCTTTCTGCTCAGTAAATTCATAATTACAGGCTTCCTTGCCTCGCTTCTCGCAAACTAGAGAACTGTTGATTGGCGTGTGGGCCCATGAGTGTGTACAGTAAGGCAGGGGGTGTGGCAGGCACATTTCCCGGTTCCTGGCAGGTTCCAATATGGGAACTGCTGAAAGTTCCCTCCAGAGAGTTGGTGGCTGAGTCCTGACTGGCACCTGCCTGTCTGGAGTGAGGATTACCAGCCTTGCTGGAATTTCATTGTTGCCAGTAATGTTCTGAGAGCTGTGTTAGCCGGGCCTATGGCACCCAAGACAAAGGCCAGGGAGCAGGTGCTGAGGTGGGTTCAGACAAAGCTGGAAGACAGGCTGCAGGTGGTAGAAAGAGCACTGGGCTGGGAGTCTGGAGACCTGAGCTCGGTGCCATCCCCACCTTCAACTCACTACGTGACCTTCTACAAATCACCTCACCTCTCTGGATCGCAGCTTCCTTGTCTTTAAAATCGGGGATCGGAAATCATTAAACTGGATTATCTCTTTCAGATGAAAAGCTTCTAGATTCTTCTCTGATGTTTGGATTTGCACAGGCAGTTCAAGATGAACCATTCTGAGTCCTCATCACTCTAACTGAGATGGTGCCATCACGTACTATCTCGTTATCATAATCCTAACCCTTTTCATCTCATTTCGTCTTGTCGACAAGAAGAACAACTATCATTTAATAAGTAAAATACCGTGTGCCAGGCCAAAGGCCCTGTGCCAGGCACTTTCTGTCATTGTCACTTTTTAGAGGTGAATAGTGGTGCCTGCCTGATGGATGTTATCTGCCAGGTTATGCCCTGTGGGTCCCAGGGGCTAGGCTTCCTCCTACAGAGCAGGCGGGGAGGTGTTCCTGGGTGATGTCCTGGGGCTTTTCTGTCTAAGGACTTACATGGATTAGAAAGGGCTTCCAAGTGCTCTATATTCTGGACTCTGGAATTGTGTGTCTCTAGGAACAGTATGGGTTTTGTAGGGGTGCAAACCTGGGTTTCAGCCCCAACTCTGCCATTTATTAGCCCCATGCCCTTGCAGACCCTAAGTTTCCTCATCTGAAAAGCAGATGGAACAACCCCAAGCAGAGCAGACAGCTGTACTGATTGGGTGAGGTAGTCAGTGTGCAAGCATGTGCATGGGGCCCGGGTGCGGCATATGACCCATACATACTGACATTCCTCCTGGCTTCCAGCCCCTCTCTCTGCCGGTCAGAAAGTAAGTCTTGAGTTTCCGTTGGACGTCGGGCATGAGCCCGGCACTCTGGACTCACCAGTGAACTCGGTGGGCCTCCTTGCCCCCACAGAGCCCACAGCCCTCAACCCCAAAGTCAAGTCCTTCTGCAGAGGCTAAATTGAAGCATGGGCCCCTTCTCTGGGAGCATGTGCTCTCTTCCTTTAAGTTTCTCTCCTCAATACCATGAAGTTTTGTCTCCCCCTCGCAGGGATGTCCTGACAAGGCTTGGGGCTCCTCTTTTAGCCCTGTCTCCTACCTGACCCTGTTCTCCAGACAAACATTCCCTGGTGAATATGCCATTTGATATGTTCAGACTTCTGCTACACTGACCCCTCCCCTTCTCTTCTGGCCCCACGTGTCCTCCCTTAGTTCATGGCCAGGCCCAGATGCCATCCCACAGCCTTGTCCTTGCTCTCTTACCCTAAGGTAGAAGTCAGCGTTCCTCATGGGAGCTGCCGTCACATAACCTTTCACTATCTGAATAAGTTAGATTCTGGTGGCATCTACTGGGACCTGACCCCAGCCTCAGCTGTCCTTGGGTCCTGCAGCATTTTGCAAATTCTGTGTGTGCCCTGAGCAGACATTTCCCACATGGGGGTGTGAATGAAGGTACTGGACTCACAGGACTGTTCTGGGCTGTGGGTGTGCAAACCATTCTCCTCTCTGATGTTCACTCGAGAAGACGTGTGGCTTTGGTTGGGATCTTAGCTGACGACGTCATGTCTTTGCTTTCTTCTTTCTTCTCTTGGTCTTTGTGTAACCTCACACTCTCCCTGTGGGGTGTTCTCTTGCTTCCTCGTCTACCTCTTCCCACTGCTCCATTATTGAGGATTTGGGTGAGAGAAATTCCACAAAGCTGAGATGCCCCCAAGTAAGATGCAGGCCATTCCTGCCCTGCTTTCTCTCAAACTGGAAGAAATATGAAGCCGTCCTCTTGAATAGAAATGAATAAGACCATTAGGACCAAGAGCTATTTTGTTCCATGGGGAGTTATTTATTTATTTATTGGGCCACTTCTTAAACCATTTGTTCTCTCCTTTTAATGAAAACCTCTCAGAGGAGGCCCCAATATGGGAGGCAGCCAAGATCTGCCTCATTAAAATGACATCAGGGCTCAGAGCCGGGAGTGTACCCGGAGGACCTGGTTGCTGTCGTGGTGCAAAGGGATCCAGGATGTGGTTTTAAAGTTTTGACCTCATGCGCTATCTGGCAGTGGGGAGGTGCGAAGGAGAAGTGTCCGCTGCATAGGTGTAGACCTAGAAGACTGGGGCTGTGACCAATGGACCCCAACAAAGGGTTGTTTGGACTATTCTGCTGCACATAAACAGTAGCTGGTGCACATCCCCATCTGTTCCAGGCTGGGGTAAACTGAGATGGGTTAGCAGTTAAGAATGAGAATCCACTGGGGGTTCCTGGGTGGCTCAGTCGGTTAAGCGTCTGACTTCAGCTCAGCTCACGATCTCACGATTTTGTGAGTTTGAGCTCCGTGTCAGGCTCTGTGCTGACAGTGCAGAGTCTGCTTGGGATTCTCTCTCTCTCCCTCTCTCTCTGCCCCTCCCCCGTTCATCTGTCTCTGTCTCTCTCAAAATAAATAAACTTAAAAAAAATTAAAAATGAGAACCCACTGTAGACTTGCACACCCAGGTTTGAATCCACTTCTGGTTATAGCTATGCAAGTTGTATAACTTCCCTAAGCTGCAACACGGGGATAAAAGTACTACTTACTTCAAGGGGACTATGAATCAGGGTCCCAGCAGGAGATAGTGCATGCAAATTCAGTTGTTTGTGCAAAGGTCAATATGGGAGCTCTTCACAAAGGTATGGCTCCCTAAGAGCAGAGCAGTATTTGGGGGTAGGAAGAGTGAGGCCCGTTACCTCCTCTAGGACTAAGTGGGGTCAGGCAGGAGGTGGTTCACAGCACCTGGAGACAGAGAGGCAGTATGGAGAGGCACACCTGGAACCACTGAGACCTGTGGGTGAGCGTGGAGGCCCAGCCCCATCCCCTGTCCCCTCCCCCTCCTGCCAGCCTTCTGCTGATGCTCCCATCTGGCTGTACCTAACCAGGCCTGAAGGCAGGCAGCCCACAGATATAGCATCCATACAGGCTAGCCTCTGAGGCACAGAGAAGGGTGGGAAATGGATCTGAGAAGATACCCAACTCTGAAGGGGTTGTAAGATGAAATGAGATAGTCTCTGGAAGGTGCTGGACAGTGACTGCTATGAAGCCAGGCGCTAGATAGCCAATGGCCGTGCTTCATCGTCATCATCAGCGCTATTATCGTTATTATTAGCATTGTTGTTATTGTTGAAGTTGCCCTCCCGGCCCTGCTGTCACCCAGACCTGGGTGACCCACACATGCATGGGGGCCGAGTCCCAGAGCCTCCAGCTTTTCCAGTGCAGTTCTTGGTCTCAGCATGTGCAGAGGGCTTTGAGGGGCCAGCCACACAAGCCCTGTACCATTATTACCCAGTATCACATCCTTCCTTTCCCCCACAGGGAGCCTCCACTCCTGAGTCCTGGCCCTCCGAGGAGGCCCCTGTGCCAAGTGCTACCGTGCCGCGAGGACCCGTTTCTGAAATGAAAGCCATGCCGTGGAATTGGACTTGCCTGCTCTCCCATCTCCTGATGGTGGGGATGGGCTCCTCCACTCTGCTCCCCCGGCAGCCACCCCCAGTGTCCCAGAAGCGGTCTTTTGTTACGTTCCGCGGGGAGCCAGCTGAGGGTTTCAATCACTTGGTGGTGGACGAGAGGACAGGGCACATTTATTTGGGGGCCGTCAACCGGATCTACAAGCTCTCCAGTGACCTGAAGGTCTTGGTGACCCACCAGACAGGGCCGGACGAGGACAACCCCAAGTGTTACCCACCCCGCATTGTCCAGACATGCAATGAGCCCCTGACCACCACCAACAATGTCAACAAGATGCTCCTGATAGACTACAAGGAGAATAGGCTGATTGCCTGTGGGAGCCTGTATCAAGGCATCTGCAAGCTTCTCAGGCTGGAGGACCTCTTCAAGCTGGGGGAGCCTTTTCACAAAAAGGAACACTACCTGTCTGGAGTCAACGAGAGCGGCTCTGTCTTTGGAGTGATCGTCTCCTACAGCAACCTAGATGACAAGCTCTTCATCGCCACAGCAGTGGATGGGAAGCCAGAGTACTTCCCTACCATCTCCAGCCGGAAGCTGACCAAGAACTCAGAGGCGGACGGCATGTTCGCTTACGTCTTCCATGATGAGTTTGTGGCCTCGATGATTAAGATCCCTTCAGACACCTTCACTGTCATCCCTGACTTTGACATCTACTATGTCTATGGCTTCAGCAGTGGCAATTTTGTCTACTTTTTGACCCTTCAGCCTGAGATGGTGTCTCCACCAGGCTCCACCACAAAGGAGCAGGTCTATACATCCAAGCTTGTGAGGCTTTGCAAAGAGGACACCGCCTTCAACTCCTACGTGGAGGTGCCCATTGGCTGTGAGCGCGGCGGGGTGGAGTACCGCTTGCTGCAGGCCGCCTACCTATCCAAAGCCGGGGCCGTGCTCGCCCGGACCCTCGGAGTCCGTCCGGAGGACGACCTCCTGTTCACTGTCTTCTCCAAGGGCCAGAAACGGAAAATGAAATCCCTGGATGAGTCAGCCCTGTGCATCTTCATCTTGAAGCAGATCAACGATCGCATTAAGGAGCGACTGCAGTCCTGCTACCGGGGCGAGGGCACGCTGGACCTGGCCTGGCTTAAGGTGAAGGACATTCCCTGCAGCAGTGCGGTGAGTCAGGGGAGAGCCTGTGGGCTGGGATGGCGTGGCGTGGCAGGGGGACACTAGCCTGTGGTTTCCATGGGATGTGAATCACCCATCCCATTTTGCCAATGGGACAAACACATCTCTGGGTCTCACTGGACTCAGATCAGCACCAGCTCAAACGTGCTATGGCTATGGCGCTGAGCTTATGAGAGCTGGAGCTAGAGCTGCAAGGTAGATTTCCTATTTGATGCTTTTCTCTATTCTGTATTAGCTCATGGCTCTAGGAGGGCATGCTCGAAATAGGTGGGGATTGTGTCATACAGATGTCACATACACCGGGCATTGTTAAGACAAGATTATTGTGTCCTGTGGTATAAGACACATATCCATCTTTCTTACTGACCATGCCAAAAATCACTTTACTGGGAACTTAGAATAAAACCATTACTGGGAGTAATGGAGCCAGTCATTCTATACTTGGGATAGATCTAGGGCTTCAGGAGCATCACGTTTTTGTCCCTTGAGGTTCCTTAGGAAATGGCTAAATGAGAGCAGTGGTATGGTGGGAGTCCAGGGAACACAGAGGTGAAAACAGAGCTTGCTGAGAAAACTGCATTTATGGGGCACCTGGATGGCTCAGTCGATTAAGTCTCTGACTCTTGGTTTTGGCTCAGGCCATGATCTCATGGTTTGTGAGATCGAGCCCCATGTCAGGCTCCATGCTGACAGTGCAGAGCCTGTTTGGGATTCTCTCTCTCTCTCTGCCCTTCCCCTGCTCACTCTCTCTCTCAAAATAAATAAACTTAAAAAAAAAACTGCATGTATTAAGCATCTTCTGTGTGCACTGTTCCGTGGAAGAGATATGGCAAGCAGCCTCAGAACCCTACTGAGTGACAGAAGTGCTGAAGGAAACCAGAGAAAGTGGAGTATGAAGGACTAGTTTAGAAGACCTTTCCAGGGACACATGCAACAGGTGACCCATCCTCCTGCCTCTCCCAACCTAACTCACTCGTGATCCAGCTTGCTATGGCTTGACATCTGTTCATCTTTAAAATGGTCCAGTTTTTTCTCATTCTTCCAGTGACTTAGAAGTCTGATTTATGACCATCTTCTATGCCCTGTGTCCCTCTCCTTCTCCCTCCTTTTTTTTTTCATTCACTTAAAAACCTAGTTTGAGAAAAGTCTATCCTAGAGAGAAGAAAGGAGAATTCACACACAAGTGGAACATGTGTTTGCACGGATGTGATTCTTGACTGCTAGCCCAACTTTGGTGGGATTCCACATTAGTGAAATGTATTTTGATTGATTTAAAAAGTCTAAGTTTCCCTTCATGAAATATGGCTACTTGCCAAACCCATCTCAGAGGGTGCTGGCACCCAGGCAGCTTGTGAGGGGAGGGGCTGTTCTTGCAGGCTCTGGGACTTTGAGGTAGGGGTTGGGGAGATGGAGATGAAGGAAGGGACTTGGCAAGGTTTGCCTTTGGTGCCCTAACATTTAGGCTCATGCTGTTTTCCACTGGTGAGTTTTCTAGGTAGTTGGGCTGAAACTAAAAGATGCCATTTATTTTAGATATCCTGAGAAGCCTAGTGTCACAAAGGAAATGAGAGAGGCCAGAGAAGGAAGCAACAAGTTGACAATCTTAGGCCAGGCCAGAGAGTGGAGGGGACTCCACTGTACCTGCTGAGCCTTAGTGGGTGGCATATCTTTGGGAGCCTTTGGTTTAAGGCAATGGCGGATTCACTCAATAGAGTCAATGAAACAAGACAGGTTTATGACCTGGGGGCCATGGACTTCTCCCAAATGCAGGCTATCAAGGCCAGGTGCTATACTGTATGTACGTATATTACAGCCTCAAGCACAGCTCCCTGGGGAGACGCAGTAGGGAGCCGGCATGGAGAAGGAAGGCCCTTAGAGACCCTCTGATCTGTACCTTCATTCCGAGGCCCAACAAGGTGAATGAATTGCCCAAAGTCACATAGTTTGGGAAGGAATGGCAGACACAGCACTCGAGGAAAATTTCCTTTGCCTCCTGAGGAAAATCACACTTGCACACATGCATGCACACACATGCACACCTACACATGCATGTGTGCACACGTACAATAAATACCCCCACGAGCATGCACACAAGTATGCACACCCTGTGTTTGAAAGTGCAAGTCTATGCGGTGTGCTTACCAAACAGCTAGTTCTTTTGAGATCAGATGGGTTGGCTATTTTTTCCATAGATGCTTTTCTGTAGAAAACTGGCTCAGATTCTGTCTTTTTGGGTGATGCTTTTGGGAGTAGACTCAGCTGCAGGGATCAGCCTGGCTGCCCATGGGCAGGTGTTTGCCCCGCCCTTGCTCCCTGCCACAATACAAAAAGCAAAGTTCATCATGGAAGTCTGCAGAGCTGCGGGTCCTGAGACCGCATGGTGGCCTTGGAGAGAACAGAGGGACGACAGCTTTGCAAGACAAGCTAATGCCAGGGCTGGGAGTCATGGAGCCAGATAACAAGCTTTTGATTTTTCTTTGGGCTTTAATTAGCCCTTTCAAGTTTGAGGCAAGTTCAGGGCTGAGAGCAGAAAGGAGGAGGCCAGAAACTCCACACCAGGCTGGGCTGTCTCCCCAGCCAGTATAAAAGGCCACAGCAGCTTGTAATGTCAAGTATCAGTTTCCTTTGATTCGGCCGACGCTCAGATTACTTTGCTCCAGTCCTCAGGTGCTCGGCTACAATTCATTTGGCCCCAGCTCAGACCACACATGCGCCCCGTGCCATCAGCCAGGCCAGGCTCCTGGGCCTCCCCAGGGAGGAGTCCTCGTGGGCACACCACTTGCAAACCCAGCTTGTCCTCCACCCATTCATGTGGCTGTTGGGTTCCTTTCCTCTCTCCCTTTCCTGCCTTGAGGCAATGATGGACTAGATGAATCTAGAGTTCTCTTTTGCCTGTGAGTCCAAGATTCCCTTGAGGCCTGCGAGGTGGGATGGAATCTCGGATGGCCTCTGTCCTGCAGCCTGCCCTTTGTAAGACCACAGTGGAGGGAAGCGTAGGCCCAAGAGATTGACTTTTAAGACTTGTGGTTTGTAGGCTAAGGGATTCCCTTAGCTTCATCGTAATTACAATCATAGAGCTTGAAAAGGTATGATTAGTGGTTCATTTTTTCAATTGAGACATAATTGACATACAACATCATGTTGGTTTCAGATGTACAACATGACAATTGAGTATTTGTATGTATTGCAAAGTGATTGCCACATGACGTCCAGTTATCTACACACAGTTACATGTTTTTTTTTTCTTGTGGTGCCACCTTTTAAGATCTATTCTCTCAGCCACTTTCAAATATACAATGCAGCATATCAACTATAGTCAATCATGCAGTACATTACATCCCCAGGACTTATTTATTTTATAGCTGGAAATTTGTACCTCTTGACCAGTGACTCATTTTTATTGTGTTCCTGTTTTCCTAATTCCCTAAGGTAGACCACTCATCCCATGGTATTCTTCAGGGTTTTCCGGCCCTTCCCATTTCTTGGGATCCACATTCCTTCCCCTGAACTCAGGTCTCCCGAACTCAGAGCAGGAAGCAATATAAGCCCTGGGGCCTCTGGCCCCCTTATTATGTCCCAGCTGGTATTTTGCCTGTGTGCAGGGAAGACCAGGTGGAGTGGGAAGAAGACATCTGTGTGACTCAGCCTGCCATTCCATGGGGCATTCGTGGTGGGCCACAGCCTGGTGAGCAGAGGGGGAAGGGTTGTATGTGAGGAGGGTTCTCAGTCTGCAGGTCCCCAGAGAGCTCCCCATTGTTTTGATTTTATTCCAGGTGAATCAGGGAAGGGTGGCGGAGTCCACATCAGAGATAAGGGCTGGCAGGCTTGGAGTGGCTTCCTCACGGGGATGTAAATGCACGTCGCAAACACGAATCTCTGAGTGGGTGTTGGGTGTAGAGGCTGGCGAAGCAGCCCAGGTGTTTTCTGGTGCTTGTGGGAGATGGAAGCAGCTTCCCCCTTTGCCTTCTAGGCCATTCTTTTCCTGTGTCCTGGCTTTCCCAGCCTGAATGGGAAGAGGTATCCAAGAACAAATGGTCTGTTGTCTGAAAATTGCTTTACAGGTCTCAGGAGGGCACAGACAGAAGGAGGGTCCTAGAGGCATCAGCTGGGGGTCCCATTCTATCTTGGGACTCAGCAGACTGAAGACCGACCTGAGTCCCTTTGCTTCTGAGCGTTCAGGAGGGTTAATGCTAATGATGTAATCTCTGTTTCTGCTACTCAGCACGGGATGGTCTCTGTCTTTCCCTTTTGAAGGCTGTCATGTCACCCAGGCTCCCCAAACCCTCTGTCTACAGAGCACAAGATGACTGGCATGAGAAGCCCATTGTCTCTGGCTTCTGTCATGTGCCATGGCCCTAAGCAGACCAATGTGACAGTTCCCAGCCCTTTCCTGGGAGCCCTGACACTCCTGACCCAGAGTGGGGCAATGAGGCTGGGGAGTGTGCTGTTGTGGGCCAAAGCTCTTATGTTCACATGGGCCGAGTGGCCTGGCCTCCCAGATCCCCCAAACAAGCTATCTATGCCTCCTCAACCTTTCTTCAGCCTTCTAGGGTAACCTCATGGAACACTAGCCCTTCCACCTTTGAATTAATTAATGAATCGATGAAACATTTGTCAGGCCCTTGGCTACGTGCTCCCTCCTGGTGGGTGCCAATCATGAAACGACATCGGTCTCCAGGGGCCCAGGATCCCAGGAGGGAGCTGCGCCCCAGCAGGTGATTATGGCCTGTGTGATGGGAACAATGGCTGTGGTCATGGGATAGGTCATTACTCATGCCACTAAGTCTTCCCTGAGTTTGGATCCAAGTGAGAAGTGGACATAGGAGTCAGGCAATGTCAGCTTTAGTACTGATAAGGCCATATGGGGCAAAAATCAGCTTTTTAATCTTCCCCTTAAAACTTGAACTTCAAGTGACCTTCCAATACAAAAATGTAGGTGCTCAGGGCAGAAACTATTATCCAGAATCATTGCCTCCCACCGGTCACGT